GAACCCTCTAGCTCTGGTATATGTGGCTGCTGCCCTAGCTGCTGAGCTACAGGCGCCGAGCCAGGATGCTACCTTGTTAACTGAAGAGAGCCTTACATCTGGCATTGATCAATGGGGAAACTGAAAAACAGAAGTAGATAGGGGAAATGAATGTCATTCTTCACGTGCAAAGCAGAGAAGGATATTTTATTAAATTGGGAAATTCTGTATACTAAATTTTTGTTCTTAGAGGTGTGAGCCGCCAAGCCTGGCCACCCTTTGTACTTTTTTAAAAAATGTAATAAATTGCTAGTTTTCTTATTCGACTTTTCATTATTTTGCTTGTTAGTTTTGTTTGTTTGTTTTTGTTTTTGACCGGGGCCAGATTTGAACCCTCAATCTCCAATATATGGGGCCAGCACCCTACTCCTTTGAGCCACAGAGTTTTAAGCTGTTGCCCTCTGTAGAGTGCTGTGGTATCCATGACATCACAGCTCACAGCAAATTCCAGCTTTTGGGCTTAAGTGATACTCTTGCCTCAGCCTCCAGAGTAGCTGGGATTATAGGTGCTTGCCACAATGCCCAGCTATTTTTTTGTTGCAGTTTGGCTGGGGCCGGGTTCAAACCCTCAACCCTCCACATATAGGGCTGGTGCCTACTCACTGAGCCACAGGCATCCCCCCTGCTTCTTAGTTTTTAATGGTATCTTTTGTCTCCTATTTAGAGGGTATCCCAAAAGTTGCCCCTAAAGCTGCCCTACATAAGGAAAATGGGAAATAGTAGCAAAGTGTACCTTCATTACAAAATTTTAAGAGGTAGAGGGTGGTGCCTGTGACTCAGTGAATAGGGCCTCATATACTGAGGGTGGCGGGTTCAACCTGGCCCCAGCCAAAACTGCAACAAAAAAAATAGTTGGGTGTTGTGGTGGGTGCCTGTAGTCCCAGCTACTCAGGAGGCTGAGGCAAGAGAATTACCTAAGCCCAAGAGATAGAGGTTGCTGTGCGCTGTGATGCCATAGCATTCTATCAGCGATGATAAAGTGAGACTCTATCTCAAAAAAAGAAAAAAAAAATTTAAGAGGTAGCCGAGACAGAAGATATTTTGTAAAATTTTTTAATGAATATTTTATAAATGTACATTTAGCTACAATTTTTCCCTTTTTCTTATGTCTTATGTACTTCTTGGGTAAACTTTGGGACACTATTTTTTATTTTTTTCTGACAGAGTCTCAAGCTGTTGCTATTGGTAGAGTGCTTTGGCATCACAGCTCATAGCAGCCTCACCTCCCAGGTAGCTGGGACTATAGGTACCCACCACAATGCCCAGCTGCTTTTTGTTGTTGTTGTTGTTGTTACATGTGGCTGGCACTCTAGCCGCTGAGCTACAGGCGCCGAGCTGGGATACTCTGTATTTTGTGTTCAGTAGTCATTGCGCTTTTTCCTGCTTTCCTCTCTTCCTCTCCCATCTTCTTTCTTTTTTTAGGTTGTATTATTTCTTCCTTGTTAAAACATTTGTATGTTCTTTTATTCTCTTCCCTATGTTGTTTCTGTTTTAGATCTACAATTTAATATATAAGATATTCGTCATTAGTCATTTGCTGAAGTTTTCTTAATCATTTCTTAATTGATTGAAGCTCATTCTCAGGAGAGCTTAAGCATTTGGGTGCCAGGCGGCACCTGTGGCTCAGTGGACAGGGCACTGGCCCCATATACCGAGGGTGGCAGGTTCAAACCTAGCCCGAGCCAAACTGCAACAAAAAAATAGCTGGGCGGGTGCCTGTAGTCCCAGCTACTCGGGAGGCTAAGGCAAGAGAATCGCCTAAGCCCAGGAGTTGGATGTTGCTGTAAGCTGTCTGATAACACCACAGCACTCTACCTAGGGCAATAAAGTAAAACTGTCTCTGCAAAAAAAAAAAAAAATTGAGTGCCTTCATGTTTAAAACTTATTTTGTAACCTCAATCCTTGAAGGACAACTTGATTGGCTCCTTGGTTTACCATCTTATTGGCTTGAGATTCTTGAAAATACTTTCCCATTTTTGCCTTGATTTTTTTTTTTTTTTAATGTGTTTTGGAGAACTTAAAGATGGTAGTAGTAGTTTATTTGGCAGTATATCAGGGGAGTACTCTTCTATGTAACTGTTCTCCTAACACATCATTTTTTTTTTTTTTCTGAGACAGAGTTTCAAACTTTGTTACCCTGGGTAGAGGGCCCTGGTGTCATAGCTCACAGCAGGCTCAAACTCTTGGGCTCAAGCAATTCTCTTTGCCTTAGCCTCTCAAGTAGCTGGGACTACAGGTGACCAACACAATGCCCAGCTATGTTTTAGAGATGGGGGTCTCACTCTTGCTCAGGCTGGTCTCCAATGCATGAGTTCAGGCAATACACTCATCTCTGCCTCCCAGAGTACTAGGATTATAGGCGTGAGTCACCTGCCTGGCTGATATATCATTCTTTTTTTTTTTTTTTTTTTTTTTGAGACAGAGCCTCAAGCTCTCCTCCTGGGTAGAGTGCTATGGCATCTCAGCTCACAGCAACCTCCAAGTCCTGGGCTCACACAAGTCTCCTGCCTCTGCCTCCCAAGTAGCTGGGACCACAGGTGTGCGCCACAATGCCCGGCAGTTTTTTGGTTGCAGCCATCATTGTTGTTTGGCAGGCCCAGGCTGGATTCAAACCCGCCACCTTAGGTGTATGTGGCTGGGGCTTCACCCACTTGAGCCACAGGC